AAGAAACTTGCCGCCTCCCTTTTTACTTCGAGTTGGTCTTATGGTCTGCCCTTTTGGGGGCCTTTTTGTTTTGAAGATATCGACTCTGTAGAACTGATGTTCTTTCGTCGTCTTTTTGGTCTTGAGAGGTCGATTCCATCGTATGCAATTAGATCAGAATTGGGCCTTGAGTTTCCTCGGAAACGCTTTGTAAAATTGACCTTAAATTTTCTGAGAAACATAATCTCTGACCCATCATCCTTGGAATGTGAGGCTTATTTTACTCTGAAGAAGTTTTCATCGAAAAGATCGTTCAAATACTGCTGGTTTACTAAACTGGAGAATCTATTTAATAGAATAGGTATCTCACTCTCCTTAATAGATTCCTCTCCAGATGTTTTGAAATATTACGAAAATACAATTTTGCACGAATTTGATAATCTTTTCTTGAGAGAAGAAGGGGACAGGATTCTTAAGGCTAAGTATCATTTATGGTACCCAGAAATATTAGACAACAACTGGTGCTTTTACATTTATTATCAGCAGTTACCGTTTATTGTTAAAAAAAACGATCATACAGATTTGTCTAAATAAGTTTCATGTAACATGGAAACACTTGTGTATTGATCTACGTTCGGCGGAAAGGTGTCCGTTTTGTAAGAAAGGAAATGCGACTTTAAATCACTACATGTTTGACTGCGAGGATTTTGAATATTTGCGTCTATCAACACTTCCTAATAATAATTTTTGTACTAATAATAATGTTTGTAAAAATCCAGCAGACAGAATTCATGGATTATTCTCTATCAACGACTCAGTTGAGTGTATATGGGGTAAATATAATTTATTGACCAAAGTTATTAATGTTACCCCTCCTCCTAAAAATTAATTTCATGTATGGAGTTTTCAAATAAATAATTCAATAAAATATTTATTTATTATGAAAATATTTGTTTTTTTCATGGGGAAAAAAACAAGCTTACTTTCCGAACAACCCAATATATAATTTTTCCATGTAAATTCCCAACTTCATTCACTGAAAAACATATTAGATATGCAAAATGAAATGTAATTTGCGAATATCAAATATTGGAAACTCAATCATGAATTCTTCTTCTAAGATAACTTAGCTCAATTTCAAATTCTTTTGGATAAATTTATTAACATACATAAATTAAATATGAGAAGTTTTGAAATACCAACACTAAATATTTAAACTTTATGCGAGTTAACAGATCATATGCATTGGGACTTTGTTTCTTGCTAACAAATGCTAGATGAGAAATTCATAGTGATTTTCAAAATAATGTTTTTGTATTATATTAAAAATTAAACCAGAAATATATTACTGAAAATTTGCAAAGCTCTTTATGATATATGATATAAAATAAAAAGATGTAAAAATGAAACTGATAATATAAAATGTATTTACTGTATATTCTTAAATATGCACATTGTATGTATACAAAAGTAAATAAATTGATATAGCCTAGTCTATGATTTTGTTTTTTCTGTAAAGCAAATATAACTCTAGTCATTAGTGTTGTTTATATACTTTTTATTTTTTAAAAAGTGTATCAGACAAAACCCATATAGTCCATTATTTTTAAATACATAATTATTTATTGTACACATACTACTTTACCCATATTGCTTAAACACTGACACACGACTCTGAAGAATGCACTAACATGTTAACTCCGAGGATAACCATCGTAGATAGAAGCCCTTATCTCCACTGCATTGGTGTGTGTAGGCCGAGGAAAGATCTGTCAATTTTTAAAAATTCTAGATGGTAATTGTCTTCAATTTTAATTAATAAAAAAAAGTTCATGAAAGTGAATAAAATTCAGTTTTTCTATGTTCTGGAATGCATACCTTTTAGCCTAAAAGGAAAAGCCATTCCTTTTAGGGTACTTGATGACCACAAAATTTTAAGAAACTTTTTTAAAAGTTTGAAAATGTCTTTTTTGTCTTCAATTTTAATTAAGAGTTTCTTTCTTGGGATCATGCTTACGACTGCCAGAGTGTCTTTTTTTTATTGTTTTTTCGGTAAGCAAAGTTTGATTATTAATGTTAGTATTGCAGATTTGATGAAATATCAAACTGTTTGTTGATGCATGGTCAATGCCACTTTCACTTTTGTCAAGTGGCAAAACTAAGGTGGGAGTTTAATTGGATAACTTTCCTTTCTGGCAAAATTTGAACTTCATTGAAGAGAGTTAGCAAAGCCTCTTCTATGTGGCTTACAATATTGTGTTCAATCTCAAAATCTGATCAATTGATTTTTATAAAACTTTGCCACTTTCCATTTATTTCAATGAGGAATCCAAAAATTTTATAAAAAATACGGTTTATGACTGTTTTTGAATTACAAGGTCATAACATGAATATGTGCAACAAAGCAATATCACACAATGTCCCAAGGTTGCTAGCACATCAACCATGGGCTTCTATAGAATTGAATTTGTTCTCAAAATTTGAAGGGCTGATTTTGACAAAACTTTGCCATTTTCCATTAATTGTGATGAGGAAAAAGGCAATGAGGTTCCATTTAAATGTATAAAATAGGAATCCATGACTTTGACTCTAGTGTTTATCAAAAACAAAGTGACAATATCTGTGCTCCCTGAAGTGATTGTTGAGTGTGCCTAACAGAATTTAGGGGAGAAAAATAACAGCTTTGTATGTGCCTAACAGAAAATAGATAAAAATAACAAACAAAACACAAATAAAAAGCAATTGATGGCAATTGCCTTGTTCTTGTTTCGATTCTATGTCAGTCAATGCCATACTAGTGGAGCCAGGTTGAAAAATAAAGCTCAACAAAAATATCAAAATAAAGGAAACTTTTGAAAGTTGTAGCTTAAGAATATTGGAACCAGATTTGACAGTAAAACTCAACATGTGAATAAAGTGCACAAAACACAGACTATAACTACAAGGAGTTTTGTATGGAGCAATATCATCATGATAAATCACAAAACAAGCATCATCATCTTAAAAAAAGGCTTTGTACTTTATTTTATGCCTTAAAGTCACTGCACTTGCTCTAATGTTTAGCCAAATTATTGTATCTTTGAGCAGTATCAGTGAAAGAACTTTTGGTGTCAATTGACCAATAAATAATAGCCTATTTTTTAAATTTTAACATATTACTTTATAAATATTCAATACATTTAAATGTAACCTTCGAAAGGACCACATAAGAGTCAGTCAGCTCTTGAGGTATTAAACATTAGAATCCTATATTGTTCAGTAACTCAGTGTTACTATTCTCTCTTGTAAATTATAAGTGATAAAATGTCAATCATGTAAGTTCAAAACAATCCAATGAATTTATTCAACATTCAAGATATCCATAGTAATCACTAAATATTTTAAATTTCATCCAAATCAGTTCATTGGTCTTGGAGATACAGTATTAAGGGTCATAGCTGGTACTTTAATATTACCCATGTTGCTGAGCTCTATTATAGAGTATAGTAGCACTATGTGAGATCCGGAATTTTATTAACTAAAATTTTACTTAGTTTACTTTTGTTTATGTAACGGATTGGAAGAAAAAATTACCTTAGCCAGGAATGTATAAACCTTCCTGTCATAACTATCAACATTCTATTGTTCTCACATAACTTGCAGCTCGACTTGCACAAAAGTTTATAGTTAGCATCCAAATTTGATCACTTGTTTTAGGTCCCTGGAACACCTATAACCTTTAGCTCATAGAACATCCGATCACGTGATGGAATTTCCCCGCAAAAAGCTATAAAAGACATTTCTTACCCCCTCTCGGGGGAGTCGCTTAACGAAAGCTGGACTGACGACATCGAATCTCCGATTCTAAAAATCCCGATTCTCTAACATCAATTTCAGTTCGTTGCCAGAGTTGCAAACTTTTATATTTGTGCTCATTTGGATCAGAGACACCTTTTATTGGATCTTTTTGTGCCTACATGGACTAAATCGTCAAGGAAACCTACAAAGAGGTATGAAAAAGTGTGTAAACTCTCTCTCGAGCTCTTAGGCTGTTTCGTGTCGCGATTTGTGTTGTAGTTTTGCCAATTTTATTCATTTTAATAAATTCTTGTTTTATTTGTTAAAATGGTAGATTCCTTTACTCATATACGGCCTTCACCTTATCGTCGACCCCAAATACTCTCCCTTCACTCAACCGACATTTGAGAGTCTCAACCCTAGGGACCAGTATTAGCCATCTTGACAAGTGAGCAGGTTTAACGACCTGTTGCCAAACAGGGAGGAACGACTGACGAAAGGTGCCATAATTTAAAAAAGTGATTTTTAAATTATGGCACCTTTTGGATAAGCACTTCATTAAAGTTTGCTCCTGGTACCAAATGCTCCATCTACATCAGTCGATCCCAATTAGTGGTACGCGTACCCCCAGGGGTACGCAAAATTGCACGAAGGGGTACGCGCAGCAATCTAAAATTGGTCAATTTAAAATTTAAATGCATGAGATGAAGCAATCAAAAAAAATAATGGGTGGACCATCAAAAATTCGGCAATTTACAACACGATGTCAAATGCAGAAATTCGTTTATTTATAACTAAAAATATTTTCGAAATTTCATCAAAAAATGCATTTGTGACAATACCTAAATGAAATTCTTATGCAAGAAACAAAAATTGTACAATTAACACAAATTGTGTTAATTGTACAATTATCATTATTGTAATGTCAGCGAAGTGGCAGTAAAATATTTACTACCATTTTGCACAAAATACCTCTACGAGAGTGGATTTTCGGCCGTGACAAACATGAAAACTCAACATCGTCACCGACTTCGACTCGAAGATGACTCGAGACTGAAGCTGACCAAAAAGCGACCAGATTTTACAAAGTTGTGCAAAGATAATCGTGCACATTTGTCACAGTAAAATTAAATAACCTTATGCTATTTTCATTATTATTAGAATTGTATTTTAAAGGTAATAAATGTAAAAAAAAACGTATTCTGTTTATCACTACCTGTCTACCCACAGCTTTGCCCGCATTATATCGAATTTTCTCGTGGGAATTAGATATTTTCTCGCAGTAAAGTGTAGCCTATGTCCATCTCCAACATGTAAGCTATCTCTGTGCCAAATTGTATTAAAACCTGTTCAGCGGTTTAGACATGAAAAAATGACAGACGGACAGAATTACCTTCAAATTTATAATAATAGTATGGATTAATATGTATTTCTCCTATAAGGGGTACGCGAGTTTGAGCTTTTTCTTGAAGTGGTACGCAGGAAAAACTAATTGGGAACCACTGATCTACATGTATAAGTATAGTCTCTTTTGTGAAGGCAAGTGCAAAGTTTGCCTGTCCACAACCATCATATACAAGGATTGCCTCTTTCTTTCTGGCTCTGTCTCAATTCTTTTGCAATACAAGAAAGTAGCATTATGTCCTAGAACAACTAATGAGTTTATTATGATACAGCTTTCAAATTATCCCATGTATATTTCATCAATGAATTCACATTAAAAATTTTAAGCAATATTTATATCTCTGTAAGTATTAATTAAATTATCAACAACCGTAAGGCAGATAATAGTGAGGGCTTATCAGACCAATGATGGGCACAAATGCTCAGGAATCAAAGTGAAAACATTTAATAAACACAAAAAATGTATGGAAGTATGGAAACGAAAAAAACCCAAAATGCATTTTGGACTATTTTCTGATTCACGATTGTTGGTATAATTATATTAATTAAATTATCAAAGGCTAGAAGCAACTTTTCTAACAATTTCATCTCTGCATATATTTGAATTTATTTAGACTTATTGCAGGCTCTAATTTTTGCATCACATAAAAATTAAAAATATAAAAATAAACATTGCCAAAATGTCTCTTGACTTATACAATAACATAAGTAATGATATATGATCCTTTATTACCTAAATACACCACTTAATCCTTTTGAGTTGTGATTATCAACTTTTTATGCCAAATATGATTAACAAAAGATTAGAATGCAATTAACAGATATCAATGTGCTTTAAATAACTCTGTACAACTGATGTAGATTATGATAAAGAGTTACCAAATTATTATTATTACACCAAACTGAAATTAAGTCAATTTACTACCTTTATCAAGACTCTTATCTTTTTTCGTTTTTTGACTTTAGTTTTTGGGTTCAAATCTTTCAAACTTTTTCTTTTAGATTTTTCTTCTTCACTACTGTAGTTTGAACCATCATCATCATCAAATCCAGTTAAATCAAATTGCTGAGGATCTTCTAAAATAGTAAAAACTTACTTTAAATATATTGATTTATTTTCAGATTATTAAATAATTTAAAATATATAAAATACGTGATGTGAAATATATTTGAATGATAACTATAGAATTTCAAGCATTTATTTATTTATATTGTGAGAAGCCGGAGGCACAAGGGCTGTTCCCTCAATGCCACTTAATCGGCAACAGTCTGCAAAGACCTCTCAAGTTGTCGGTTCGAGGGCTTTTGATCGAGTGGTGAGGGGGTGAGCAAGTCAATAGGTGTCCTTGGATAGACAGGAGACAGGTTTAACATAACAGAATAAAGGTTTATTATTCGACTAACTATACCATATATGAGGCTACAAAGAGTTAGAGAAATATACAGGTTATATGGCTAAATGCGATTAGGATGTGGTTACAAGTCTAACCTTTTACAAAGGGCTAATCTATCAGCTAGGCCTGGTTTGTTTAGAGAGTGAGTTTGCTTGTTCACTAACAATTACCTCTAAGGTTGGAGGAGAACTATATGCGGAGATTACTGTAGGAAAGTTCTGGAGCCGTTATGTCATGTCTTCCAACTGGGTCTTCTCCTTTTGTTGAATCGAATCCATTAGATCGAAGTCCGGGAGACTATATGGGCAATATTACCAATTATAACTTCTGAGCTTCTGGTTGCTCATGTTTTTATCTCCTAGTCATGAGAAAGAGATCATGTTATCGACAAATGTTGACGATGACAAAGTATTCTTGAAAACTAAGTGTCAACTTTCCCACTGACTTGTTACTACAACCAGTGACTTCTGCCCTGATTCTCCGTTTTTTCTATTGGGGGATGTTTACATTTCAAAAAACACAATTCACATCAATTTTTACAATCCCCTTAAAATCCATGACCTCACACCAAAACCACCTTTTCTGATACTTGGACAATTCTGCATATATAGTTACATTCATTTAACAATTTTTTTTTTCTATTTTTATCGTAATGACTGGGTGCATAGATACACTGGGCATTTCTACATCATCTTTATTATTTTTTAATTTTTTTTTATTCTCTGAATTTATGCAAAACCAATGAGCTAGAATATATTACATAGAGTGGCTGTAGCAATGCTATGTTGAAAGAAAATTGAATATACACCCACAATTTTCCTTTTAGTCAAGGGCCATGCCATTTGTGTTGTGTAAAGGCAATGAGCTAGAATACTCTAACTCATTGTGCTTAAAGTGTGCAAAGAAAAGGAAGAATTTAAACTGAGATGGTGCAAGTCAAAATGACCCTACTTATTTACTTTTAAAATTTAAAAAACTAATTAGACATTTCTTTCTTTAACCATTTATAACCTCTAAGTCTTTAGAATTTCCAGTACAGTTCAAAGATAATGATGAACAAACATTTTCAATCCTTAATCTAGATCTGCTTCAGGTCTTATATAAAGAAATAGCACAAAAGAGTGGCACAAAAATAGCTTACAGGAGGACACAAACAATTTACTCCCTATTGAGGAATGCTAAAGACACACCTGATAGTTTGAGGGCACCAGGAGTGTATAGTGTCCCAATCAGGGACCATAGATTCCAGAGAAACGTGGTTTATATTAGATCGATCAAACGGTTTATACAGGTACTCCTCATTTTACGAGTTCTGTTCTGACGACTACGTCATTAAGAAAATTTGTTGATAAGCAAGGAGTTTGTGCCAGGAATATAAGATCGTTGTAAAATTATAAAAGTTATGCAACAAACTTCCAATTTATTCATAAAAAGACATGCATATGTACGCATTATCATTTGTTTATTTGATTATCTGGATCTGTAGAGGGTCTAGGTAAGGGAGATGACAACGACGAAATAGAAGTTATACCTTCAAGGGCAGAGGTCTTGGATGTAACAGTCAAAAAGAAACTCGTAACTGTGGTTTGCATTGTAATCTGTTTTTTCTTGATAAATTTCTCTATAGCACTTCAAAAGTTCACTCATCCCACATTAAACTTTATTAAAACATTCAGTATTTGAATCCATAGCCTCAAGTTCCAACATAGCCGCATTAATTTTGGAGAACACACCAGCTAACCCATGTACTGTGAATTTCTTTTTCACTTCTTCAGTTTTTTTCCTCTTCCAAATGATGCATTGCTTCTAGTAGCTCTATTAAATCCTCATTTGTTAGCTCTCCATCATCATATTCCACTAATTCAGCAATGTCTTCCATTTCAACATCTAAATTAAGCACATTGGCAAGGCCTGCAATTGTTTGAATTACATCAAACTGACTAAAAAAGTGCATAGCAAGCCTAAAGTATGCTCAGTTCGCATGTCACTAATCGCTACTGATTGACACTCAAGCTGAGAAATGGGATTCCCTGAATTGCAGGTCGAAACTCGATTAGTTGTTAAGCAGCTAGATCGTAAAGTGAGGAGTACTTGTACAAAAAAGAATTAAGGAACATAAATACGATATCACCAGAAAAAGATATGCCACCTACCCTGATGTAGAGGCCGACTTGGACAATACCATCATAAAGAAATCCTTCCAAATGGACCACATCAGGGCCTTATAAACACTAAAAATTTAAAGGCAAGCAAATCGGGAAACTGTATAAACTTCAAGGAAAGCAACACAATATCACAAGTGTGGCGATATGCCTGTGAAGACCATCCATATCAGTAAATGTTTATTATTCCCCCAATGATCAACCACAGCATTAAAATATAGTTATGGGGTGCAAGCATTTACATCTTTATCATCAATTCATTAATGATTCAAGCAATTTGTATTTGAAAATGTTTGAAATTCTTAGCATTCCACAATTGGAATGATTTTTGAATCTGAAGCAGATTAAGGATCAAAAACGTTTGTTCATCATTATCTTTGAACTGTACTGGAAATTCTAAAGACTTAGAGGAGATACTTATTGGTACTGCTATTTTACCTAGAAAGTTTAACCCTTTATTCGAATCATGTCAAATTTGACTCAGAGTTTTTTTGCGAATCTTCCTAAACCCAACAAAGTTAAAAAAGGAAAAATTCTGTGTATGTATGTGTGTTTTCATATATAAGAAATGAAATTTGGCATGATAGCTTTTCTATAAGGAGCATTGATGCTATTAAATTTTGGTGGTTAAAGGTTAAAGGGGTGGGGAGATAGAGAGGTGTCATGTGTCATATCTTGAGAGGTCGGACTTAATGAAGACATTATTTGTTATTAACATTTACAATTTTTTAAAGATAAAACTGAATACTACCCTCAAAATTAAGCTTTTTGCCATTTGATGATAATTAAAAATATATTTTATTTAAAAATGCTTTTTATAACAGATGGGACCACATGCTGTTTTAAATGTTGCAGTTTTTTTATAAGCTTAGATAATCACATTACTTATGTGGTGATGTAAGTGGGGTTTTACTAGCATCTGACAATTTTAAATTTGTAGAATACTGTTCTTTTATATTTGAATTTTTTCCAGAAGATTAATAGTACTTTTGACAGAGCTACAAGTTTAATGCTTGACAACTGTAAGTTTTATTATAAGATTAACTTTTATACGTTGAAAGCTTTTGATAAATTTAGATTTCACGAAATAAATATTTCAGTATGAATTTTCAAATATAAAAATGAAATGTCTTATTGTATGTTGTAATTGGTTTCCTTTATATAACACGAATAGAACTTTTACTTACTCAGTACTCTATCAACTAACTTTCTGTTTAGTCTCTCTTCTCTTTTAAATTTATTCTAAAAAAATAAATAAAATTTAAATAAATGATATATAAACAATGGTAATATGTAATTGGTTTTTACCTTTAACTCCTGTCTAGTTCTATTTGGAAGAAGGTTTTGCATTAAGCTAAAGTCTGTCCCAACAACACTTAATGCTTTAAAAAATTTTATTGTTTCTGTAAAAAAAATATATTTTTTTTAAAATCAAAACATATCTGCTAATATAAGAAAATAAATTTAATATTTTAGTATTTTATTATTTTTAATTAAAAATATATAAATTATACAGAGTGAATACAATAATTCTGTAGGAAAGTTAAATATAGAAACAAGACTACACTTCTAGAATATTTCATAAGAATTTTTAAAATTTATTATGAATAGCTGACTCTAAATGAAAAAAGTTTCACAGAAAATCTAAAATAAACATTATTCGTAATATAGTGGTACCTCGGTATACGTCTGCTTTAGAATACGTCAGATTCGGAATACATCTTGTTTGGACGAAACAAATTTTGCTTGGTATACGACTTAATTCAATTATACGCGCCACCTATGAACAAGTAGCACTATCGGTGTACTAGACCAGACTAGACGTTTGCGGCGCCACAGTTTATAACTTTGTTAAATTTCTTTTGATTTTAATTTGTAAGTAAAATGTTATTATTTTTATTAATCATGAATTGCAAAAAGGCAAATGAAAAGCAACAGAAAACTAAAAAAAATTATTAGAATCACAATGGAACTGAAAAAAGATTGTTGAGAAATATGAAGGTGGCATGCATGTTTTAGATTTAACTGTTGCATACGTATTTCGAGAATGACAATATTGACAATCGTGAAAAATAAAGATAATATTAAATCTGCTAACGTTGTGAAAAGAGTTAAATCAATTTCTAAACAGAGATCGAAGACATTAGATTATGTTGAGAAATTGCTTTTGCTTTGGATAACTGAAAAACAGTGTGCTGGAGACAGCGTATCGGAAGCAATTATTTGCGAGAAAGCTTAAAAGATACATGCTGATCTCATGAAAAATAAAGCAGGAACTAGCCAGGAAAGCGAGGTGTTTAAAGCCAGCCATTTTTTTTTTTTACATGAGAACGGATTAATCATTTTTATATTACTTCTTATGGGAAAGATTGGTTTGGTATACGTCCTATTCGGTATAAGTCCAAACATCAGGAACGGATTAAGGTCATATACCGAGGTTCCATTGTATATTTTTTTATTTTACACAATAAAGTAAGTAAGGCATAAGGCATGAGATTTCTACCTCTATATAGAAAATAAAATACAATACAACATAAATAAATAACGGATATTTTAAAGTAAAAATGCAGATATAGTTTAAGTTTAATTACTGTTCATATGACAAATAACCTTTTGATGCAATTACAATGGATGATTGGTTAATGAACATAATCTCTCCAAGACCATGATCTCTACCCAAATTGTTAATTAACTGATTATCGATTTACCATAGATTTTTATGGGAATTTGATTAATTCGTTCTGGAGACCCCAAAAAAGTAAATAAAAATTATTTGTTGTACATATGAATAAATGAAGTAATACACACACAGTCTCACATTTTTATCAATCATGCTATTTTTCATTTGTAGGGCAGTAAAGAATGTGTCAAATGTTGACTGCTTTTCTCTCTTCTCCATAATTTCAAGGACATCAGTTCTGCCTCCCTGAATGCAGGAGGGACACAGATTTCACCAAGGAGAATTCAACTGTCATTGAATGACTTCTATGCCTTTTGAATGAGTGAGATCACTTCAAGAATAACAAAATTTTCTTTCCAAAATGTTTTAATGTCATCGTTGAGGCGAACTGGCATGCTTCAAAACACCAACAAAAAAGTGTGCAAATGTACAATTTGTTGAAACCCACAATAATTTCCTGATCCATTGGCTGAACAACAGAGTGGTATTTGCCAGCAGAAACTGAACTGTCAGCCAGGGAAAGTCTTCCAGCAAATTATCTTCAAGGTCTTTTGGATGTCCTAGTGCATTGTCCAATAGTAACAGTGCTTTCAATGGCTATTCATTGGTCCAGAGATAATTATTGATGCTTAGAGCACAAACTTCCAACAGCCTTTCTTTGAAAAGAGCCTGCTTGACCCATGCCATTTTATTTGATTTCCACATCACTGGTTCCCAATTTGTTTGCAGTCCAAACTGTTAACTGATCACCCACTGTATTTGAAAATGCTTGAACAGGTTGATTATACCTATCTCAAATATTTAGGATAAAAATGTTTCATATTTTTGAATACATATAGTGAAGCCGAAGAGAATTATCATCTGAATCTTTTTGACATTTTCAGGTTGTATGTATTATGATATTAAAAATGTCAAAGATTCAGATGATAATTCTCTTCAGCTTCACTATATGCCTGACATCTTACTAAATCATGACAGTGTGACATAGTACTGTAATGCAACAGTGTACACAAACTATAGTATTTTGCAGCACAAACAGTAAGTTGTAGACTTTTGCTAAGCTACCAAAAGAAAATTTTGACAACAATGCATCATAATTTAATTTTCTAATGTTGTCAGCATGTACCAAGCTGTAAATAGATTACATAATCAGTTTATGTAGTAATGGCTGAATGGTCAAGACAGTTAAGACTAGTCTTGTGAAGTCTCAAGACCAGAATAGTGTGTTAATTTTAAAGATTTCACTTTCTGAGATTATGTATTATTTTAAACTTTCCTAAATGTGTTAATAACTTTATCTCTGCTCCAATGTGTGACCTAAAAGTATTCTGGCAACACTATGTGCATGTTAGTTCTGGAGTGTGCTGAGTATGTGAGAAGAAAATATTTTTCTTATTTTTTGTGATTCAGAAACCTTAGCTCTTGTTGACAAAATTTTTTCTCAATGTTTCTTGATTATGTGCTCCTGATGTGCTGGAATGATATTTCATTCCAGCACATCAGAATTATTGAATTTTTAAAGTGTAATAAAGTACTTTTGAATTGAATACCATTCTACTTGGTCAGTCCTTTCTCATAGAATAGCCTTAATTCTATATTTTGTGACAACATTTTAGGCATGCTTGTAATGTAAATGCAAATGCATTGCAATGCTAAAAACATTCTAAATTTGAAGCTTATTGTATTATTTATAATTCAGTTTTGTCGTCTTAACAATTAACTTTTGTAACTATGTTACCTAATGAGTTTCTTGAATTTCGTTTTAGATCTGAATTCTCTTGATAGTAATAGAAGTCTTGGTCAGTAGACTAGATATATTAACATCACAGACTATCTATCCAAACATCCAATATACATATATATATATATATACACACTGAAAAAAGTAGTAAAGTACTGTAGTAAAGTAAAGTACTGTAGTTACTGTAGTAAAGTAAAAAAGTAGTAAATACTGAGAACTTGCTGAGGAAATGAAGTGTCTGTGGATAATTGCTAAGAGACAGTTAGATGCATTAAATTTTAGACAATGGAAAGATATGGGTATATTCCATTTGTTTTATAGGAGAATAGGTATAGAGAATACTTAAAGGCGAAGGAATTGCTATAACATGAGTGTAAGAACAGGCCAATGAAAATTTTATTTATGACATAGTTTTGTAATTGGCAGAATAATGAAGTACAGTGGTGCCTCGTACAACGTACTTAATCCGTTCCAGGTGCACGTCCGTTATACAAAACTCATTTTCCCATAGAAATACATGCTTCGTTCCACAGCATAAAATAACCGTACTGTACCATAAAAAAAATGAAAATGGAGCAGTCACTAATTATGCCGGGTAGTCAGATGTTGTGAGGAAGTGGAGGAACACTTTCTTCACATATTCATACCGATACAGACTTTTTACACATTGTAGTGGGTCTCTTTTTATTGTTTTCTAATTGGAGTCAGATTCAGGAGAGGCTACCGGAACTTGCAGGGTCAACTCCTCTTGTTCCATTATTTGTTTTTTGGCAGCTTGCTTCTTGAAAAACATGTCCAAGGTGGTCTGTTTCTCTCTCTTCTTCAACACCTATCGGAAATGATGGGCAAGGGTAGAGATCATTGATCCTGTTGGCATCAGCTCTGTTTGGATAATGAGTGTTGGTAAACTCCTGAACCTCAACTCCTTTGACAAGGAAGTTTTTGTCACCTTTCACTCCTGATGATTTCTTGCTTTGTTTCAATTGAAATCACCTTTCTGTTTTTTAGAAGCTACGATTTGCACAACACTTGAATAAATGTAAATACCCTGCACTGAGAAGATGTATGTAATAAACAAGGGAGCAAGCCGAATCCCAACGGGAGTTCTGTACTTCAGATATACTAATAATATGTTCTAATAAAACTAATATATTATAAAAATAGCAGATTGTCATTGGCAACAGCAAAAGACTGAAAACATCATTCGCACTTGTTCGCAGAAAGACCGTTGTTCGCCTCACATGACTGCTGAACGGAAAATCCGTTATTCGCAGCGTCCGTTATACGAGGCACCACTGTATTTGGTTAAGATGATAATGCTCTAGTTCTCCCAGCTTCAACTTATTAGAATGATCAGGTGTAGCAGTGTGATCATAATGCCTGTAAAGTGATTTACAACTTTTCCAAAAGTTTAAAATAACTTATACAAGAATCATGACCTCACTGCATTCATCACTATAATTTGTGTTACAGCAATTCCTTCACTTCATGTTTGCAAAAATTATACACTTATCCCATTCAAAACAAATGAAACATACCCACATCTGTTCACTATATAAAATTTAATGCGTCTAACTGTACTTATTGTGTCAATAGTTTGTCTTTGTGCAAGACACTATACACAAATCTTGTTTGTGATGTTGTGAAGCTCTAATGTTTCATCACACTACAGAAGGCTGCCATACTACACATGTTTATATGCAGTATATATATATATATGTAACTAATTAGAAAACAAACTTTTATCATGTCTTGATCCAGATCTAATATAGTATTAGACACTGGTATATAAGTAGAATAGTGTATAGTAACGTACACTTCAACACTACCATAATAATAATAAATAAATATTATTATTATGTTGGGTTTTGTGAGTTATACTCAGTTCACACTGGTGGCTCTGTACTATGCTGGACCAGAGTCAAGGCATAGCAACCAAAACAAAACTAAAATTAAATAAGTGTGTCAGTGTGTGTGTCTGTATTCAGGAATTTCCTCACAATGTGGCATGTATTCAATATAGTGGCCTTCTGTAGTGTGATGTNCAGTCTCAAAATGTTTGCCTTTTTATCAACATAACAAAATACATGTTTATGATATAATGATAATGCATTATGATTGATATTACTTTCCACATAAAGATAGCATATTAACTACACAAACTTTTTTATATTCACATTATAAAATTATGAAGTATTTCGAAGTTATAAATAAAATAATTTATTGTACCTTTATTTTTCCAAAAATGTCTTGTCCTCTTTTTTCTAAAAGAAGTATATGTAGATTCAAAAACCTCTTCAACTGTTTTTGTTGTTGAAGTGTTATTATTATTGTTTGTTAGAATAACTAACGAATCTTCATTAATTTTAATTTCTCCATTTGGACCAACCATCACTCGTGGCCCGGGTACAGATTCTTCCTGCTCCTCCAAATTTTCACTACTTGAAAGAGTAGGATCATCAACTCCTTCTTCTTCCTCGCTACAAATTTAAAAATAAAAATTACTATTAAAACCAATAAAAAGTTATCTTTGTGCAAATAATATTTATTTTTACTTAAAATAGTATTAGTATTTCATTACATAACTTAAAAAACATATAATATTAATTTAATTTAAAAGGGCCTATCAAGATTTAGTATCTGTAAAATACTTCTAATTGTCCTTCTATCTATTAATTTCTGTACTCAAATTCAAAAAATTTCATCTAGTGTATTAAACTTTCTAAATCATTAAGCTGATCTTAACTAAAAATCTTAATTTTTAATTAAGATCAGATAACAATTTTTAAATAACTTAATTTTTTTAGACATGAGTGTATATCAAATATTAATAAGCATAATTATCCAATTCATAGATAGAACAAAATAAACAGTAGAAAATTGATGCAAATGTTTCAGGCAATAAAAATACCCAGAATGCAGTCATATTTGTGGTTTTTAAAGGAACATTCATCCAGGCTTCATAATTCAGAAGCAGCATAATATTGTTTCTGTTTTTAACTATTAAGACAATTGTTGTTTTACTGTATGATACTGACAGTGACAATGCTCCAAGATGCCACAGACAATTTTACAAAAGGAGAATTATTGAAAGACTAGATACAAGAAATTTGTAATCAGATGTGTCCAGGCTCTGCTGGCTCAAAGCCTGGATTGATGCTGACACAGTTAAAAAACAGATGTTAGATATCAACCAGAGAGTGTATCAAATACATTAACTTTGGACTTTGTATTTGGACTCATGAGAACAGTGCTCCATTCTGTCTACAAAGCAAGTCTTGTCAGATTATCTTGAACAGAGCACTAAATATAGTCCCATAAGAGACCAGTTTTGAGGAAGTGGTTTCATGGTCTGAGAAAGCATTTTTTAGATACAAGTATGTATTAAATCCTAGGGAATTAATAAGTAAAATTAAGGTGAAAAGTTTCAATTCTGAAAACTATCTAAGAAGACACCTCTAGACTCCTGAGAGCATATTGATATGATGGCACACAATGATATGGGAAGTGCTTTTCTCGAATTACACGCTGTATTCTTGAGTTGTTTAAATAGTTTACAAAATCAAATATGTAGATTAGATGAAAGTATGCTAACAATACTAAAAGATCTATATTAATTGCTATCTGTTTTTGAAAGTTATCACAGTTACTAGTATTAATATATTCCAATCAAAATAAAGTACATGCTGAATTGTTACTCCCATTCACTTATAAATATTGATTTTTTCAAGATCAAGAATTTATTTTAACTGTATTAATTCGTCTGGAAATAAACTGAACAGATTGATTATGTTCAAAATTAATTTTATCACTGAAGAAATATTGACAAGAGTTCTTCAATATTACTATTTCATTAAAATATGTTTCAGTGCTATATAATATATAGTATATGACAACAATATCAATAAATTACTTTAACTACTAAAATACTAATCAAACAGCCTTCTTCACAAAAGTACAAAACAATATGCTCTATATTTGAAACAACTGATTTATTTATATTAGAACGGCATTCATATTTGAAGTAATATGTTGAAAGGCTATTTCTTTTCAACATAATGCATGTAATACGCAATATAATACCATATAGCAAGTTATAAACATATTAAACAAACAGAAAAAAGAACAATTAGCAAGTTCGTTATAGTTGCTCAATTGTAGTGATGCACGAATGGAATGATAATACTAATGCTCACTAATTAATAAGAATTCTATGATTAAATTTAATCATGTATTCCTCAAAACAGTTCTTTTTTTTATACCAGATGTCATCATAACACATTATTGCACAATTTTTTTAATATAAGTATCAATAAGGAACTCCAAGTTAAATGGAAATGTTCCAATTACTCAAATTAATTTTTTAACACACATGAAATACACTACAATAAAAAATTTTGATAAATTTCTGAATAGTTTTATGCATTGAAAAATATTTTAAAGCCTTGGCAATAATTCCTTACATATATAAGAAAAGAAAATAAATTACTACATTTGTCTAACTTCACTCTCTTTGAAATGTTTTGACATATTCAATTTAACATTTCACTGTCACTGTTGAAAAAAAATTGTATCAAATATGCCGATTTGTTTTTTCATTTTGAGTAATTGTGATGATGTGAAATTGAATCACTGACACCTACTTGAGGACATACTTAATTACAATGGTTTTTTCCTTCTTCATGTCCTAGAAAAATAAAAAACCAAGCAATAAAATAAATACCTCTAAAATATTTCTTGCACTTTCAGGTAGTAATAAAATAAAATGAGAAAAATAACACACGAGTAATTTACCAAAAACTTCCAGCATCTTAATGACACAAAGTTGTGTCAACTTCTAAATTTTATTACTTGACCGATGAGAACGTAAGAGTTTAAAATAAATAGTCATTATTGCTTATAATAAACTGGATAATACGGAATATTGTATCAAAGAAGGAGCATTAACAAAATCAAAATAATTCAATATACTTGACAAAATAACTTCTATTTGTAAATAATTACAAGAAGAATTTTAAAGACTTTAGTTTGGATTTTTTCTGTAGGTGGTAATAAGAAAATGTTAGACTATTTTGAGCTTCCTGATTATTGCAAATTAATATGCAATACCGTATTGACTACAGTTATAGCAAAATTAAATTAAAATAAATAATAAATATGAGAATGCAAGCCACATCCTAATTTATGTAAGTATCATGAATACTACTAAAATTTTATACAAATTAAATTTTACTTGAAATTTCCTTAAATGCTTAAACACTACTATACATGCTTAATTTGAGTGAAGTAGAAAAGAAATTTGCAAAAAAATGTATAAATAAAATTGTTTATTCAATTTTTATCTAATATAAAAGAAACATTACAAAGTGTATTTTGGAATGTACAATAAGAAGGGACAGTAGAAACATCTTACAATTGAAAATTGAGAAGGCCAAAATAATTAACACACTGCCAACATCATTCATTATGTTGTCTAAGATCTGGCAATTGGAATATAGAAACTTTTTTAAGTTTTATGATTCTTTAAAGTTTGTGTGGGTACTTGTTCGTGTGTAATTAATCACTACAAACAAGGTCACATATAATAAAAGATTAGAATTTATTACATACATGAAATATGGTGCGACTGTACAAGTTAAACACGGGAGCGATAATGCATGCGTCTGGAGCGAGGTTCGAATCCAAAAGGAATGTGATGTCATAGGTCAGGTTGCCAGGTCTGTTCAGTTCAGAGGTTCCTCCTTGTGGCGACTTTGGGATTTATCACCAAAACTGTCGCCACAGTTTGCACTGATTATGAAAAATTTATGCACAGCTGAATTTACTCAAGTAAGAAAATCACTTTTTATAAAGATTAATTTAATAATAAACGATTGCCTTCCTGGTAAATATCTAATATTCAACTTTATGCATATTACAATGCTTTGGGTAAAGCTACTATCAATTATGCAAAAGTCAGCTCATACAGGACAAACTGTAAAATTTCATACATTTACTAAATTTTAAAATTATCCCTATTCATGAAGGATTTATATAATAATAAAACTGTAATGAAATTTTGTCACTTAATAAAACTGTGTCCCCATTTTGAGCATGTTTTACTATTCCTTTCATTTGAATACAATTTGTTAAATTGCCAACATAATTGATTTATAAATTAAAATGCTGTATATGTGATAAATAAGACATTGCACTGGTTTGATTTTATCACAACAATCATCTTATTCTCCGCCTAACAGCAAACATATTTCCAGTAATATTTCTTTATCATGATTATAACATTTCACATTATAATGTGTCCTAATCACTTCATGTAATTATAATCTTTTGCTATCATTGGCTATATTTAGCTGGATGATGTTTGAAAATGGGATCACAATGGACTGATAATATGAATAACTAGTACAACTCATTTACAATTCATTTTATAATAATATATTATACTAAATTAAATATAAAGAAATAAGGGCTTACGTTGGCTGTAATACGGTCACTGTATTTAATCCTTTATTTTCTTTCTTTTGACTGAAATAAAATATTTAAAATAATACAGTTATTATAATAAAAGTAATATAATAAGCTAAAACTAATCAATTATGGAATAACCCAGGAAAATCAAAAAACAGCATATATATTTGAATACCATTTCTAATTATAATTTATTATTGAAAATAATAATTTTAAAAATGCATTTGTTATTATTCAAAATAGATTTATATAACTGCATATATAATCAATGTAAAATTTGTTATAATTTTAATAAAATCTTATGAATAAAAACATTTTGTTTTCTATAAAGGAAATTAAATGATTCATCTACAGCATGCAAAAGATTGTTTCAAATTTCAATGTTGAATGGATATAGCAATTATTTTGACACTAAAACAATTTTCTGCTGATAGTGATTTGTAATAGAAGAAAATTAAGAATTACTAGTAGAATATGAATAAATGAATAGAATAAAATCTTTTAAAATTCATAAAAAGAGTCTACATAAATAACTATGTTTAAAGTATTTAATATTACATTCATTAAAATTTATTGAATATTTTCTATGAATTTTACAACTTTTTACTTTCAATCTTTACTGAATTTGATTTTCTTTGTATATACAGTTAAATTTCAATACATTTTGACACTGGCACTAAATCAAGTGTGGCATTAAACTGAAAAACAACAAAAAAATGATTGTGTGTAAGCCCTACATGGAATATTTGAGTTTAAGAGTTTGAAAAAATCACATGATTTAGTGATGACAATGTGAGGTTTTGAATTGCAAATAACACAAAGGATGTTTGTCTCTCTGATTTGAAAAAAAATTTGGTGAGCACGTAGCCCTAAACACAAAGAGCTCCTTGTCTAAATAATAGGACCCACTCAAGCATTTTCAAAAAAATGGGCCTCTGAAAATTGAGTGTTTAGCTTATAAGTCTTTGGAAGTTTCATTCTTGTATTGGTAAGAGTCGAGTGGATAAGACACTAGGCATGGAAGCTACACGATGTTGGTTTGAACCTTTGCAATTTCAGTTTTTTTTTGTGAGGCCAGGACATCACCCCCAGATGGGAACCAGCTGTCAAGCTAAAGTCAATAAATCGGTGACATATTACGTAAATAGGACCGGGGTGACCAAGGAATGGGTACGAGGTGATTTAATTGTCGCATTCCAGACCTAATTGACAGATCTGCAATCCTCAATTGTGTATGTCTGCCAGGGTAACTTTGGACGGTCACCTTACAGAGAGTTCAAAGCGGGACCTGCTGAAACTCCTATGGAGGGGGCGGTAGCTGAGACAGCTGCGTCTTCTCCAGGACAGAAAAATACACATTAGGTAAAATTTACTGGTTCATCATCCAGGGAAGTGCTTGACCCGACTCCGGAGGGGAATGGCCTGGACCGGGATGTTTGGTGACCCCGCGGCTCGAATTGCGTCCCTTGCAACAGACCAGGGACCACTAGACAGAGGACCATCATTTGGACAAACCAAAACCTTGGGATTTTGGGAAGAAAAAGGTTATAAAAGCCCGAAATCCCAAGGACATGGGGAAGTTGAAGTGAGAGATCGGGACCCAGTTAGACTGACGTAGTGGCTAAGACGAGGACAATGGAGAAGACCCAAAGACGTGGATAAGTGCGAAAAAGGAAAGGACCCAACTTCCCTCAAACACGCTTCTCTACCCAGTTTGGTGTCTGTCTCCCAGTGTGGATCCCTGTTCTCCCTGCCTCCAACAACAACTGAGATCGAGGACGAACTCTCTTCGGCCCCATAAGAAGTTTCTCCTCCAGAAAGGACTTTCATCAGTTGACGACATCAGATCGGCAAATCTCAATAATTTGCAAGCATGTCTTGTCAAATAAATGCGTTAATTTCATAATTACGGTCTCTGTGTGAGTCATCTTTGCATCCATCAAACCACTACCCACATATGGAAAAGGCTTTCTCGTGTCATCCTGACAGACCATGGGCAATGCAAGGGTTGTAACCTTTAACCGTAAGGTTGACATCCTAGGTGAGTGGCGTCGAACCTAAAACCCCACATTTTTTTTAATGTGTAATAAAAATATTTTATTATTTTTCTGTATTTTAAGCATTATTATTACTATCATTATTCTTTGTGTTAAAAGCTTATCATGTTTTTTAATCTTTATTTTATGTCGTTTCCTGTTTAGTGAAAATGAAGTCTTCTATGTCATTAAACAAAATTTTTATTTCTTCTTATTAGCTTTAAGATATGATGGTATTGTTATATTTGAAGGTATAACAAACATGAGTATGTGAGAAAATTGTCCATAACATTAATAATTAAAAAAGATGCTGTGATGATGCTACTGTATTTTCATATCAGACTTGCCATTCTTGCACAGTAATGTCTGAAAGTTATTTGCTTGTGATGACATAGTAAGTAACTAAGAGCAAAAATATCTAAAAATAAATATGGAGAAATAAAAACTTTATTTAATGACAAAGAAGAGTTAAAACCACAGACATCATATTTTTGATGAACAGGAAACGACATCATGTTTTTTAAATATCTTGCTTTTTTTAAATATTATTATTATTTATTAATTACTAAATATATTTAATAATAATAATAATGTTATGATAAAATAAAAAATTATTTTGTTACACATTAAAGTGGTGAAGGTTTGAACCTACATTGTGTAGCTCCGGTAGCTAGGGTCTTATCCACTTGGCTATCGCTATTACAAGTGAAACTTTCAAAGACTTATAAGCTAAACGCTCAATTTCAGAGGTCGTTTTTTCAGAAATGGTTGAAAAATGAGTCCTATTATTGGACAAGGAGCTGTTTGTGTTTACGGCTATGTGCTCAGCAAGTTTTGTTCAAATCGGAGACCCAAACATCTGACCTTGTTAGAAACTCTTTTGCTATCTGTGAATTACTATCTAATACTTTTGAGAATAATCCATTCATAATCATTGGTGCTTCAAAAGGATAACATTATTTAGGAGAGCAACTACATTGAAGTTTCATATTTATAAAAATTATTCTTTTATATGTTTAAATTGATTTCAACATTTCAAAATAATTTGAAGTTCTTTATTTAAAACTTTTTCTTAGTTCAAATTTGTGAAAACATGCTAATGAAAAATTTTTTGCCTATAAAACTTAATTATCTGATCTGATCTGATCTTAATAATTTATGCAGAAATTTATATTTTATACATTATAATCATCAACATTTTAAACATCTTCATTTTCCATTGTCTGGTCTTACTAAAATGCTTATGAAAACTAATTAATATATATATTGAAGTAATGCCTTCAAATTTCTGTAACTTTGCCATTGAAGTAATTTTTAGTTATGAAATCAAGTATAGCAGTGCCTTGTACTTCAAAATTAATTAACTCTGAAATGCCATTTGTACTCCAAATCATCTAAAGTCAGAATCAATTTTTCCCATTAAAAATAACAGAAAGTGAATTAATCCATTCCCAGACCCTAAACAATACCAATTTTGACAAACTTAAAATAACAAATACAAATAATTTAAGGTAAAAATAATGCAATTAAATGCTCTAAATAATAAATTAAAATATGAAAACAATAAATACGTAATTTACGTATAATAAAACGAAAGTTGTGTTCATTTATCGCACACTGTTGAAGTAGACATCCTGAACATGGCTGTTAGATCTGCCACACATACAGTAGAGCCTCGATTATCCGAACCAATTGGAGACTGGGGTTGGTTGGATAATTGAAAAGTCGGATAACCGAAAAGTATGAAAAAATCCATTATTAGTGTAATATATTATTATATCCCATGTAATTAGTATATTAATATATCGCTATTAACCTACTTCGCGTTGAATTTTCATCGATGTTAACCCTAACAAAAATTTTTTAAAATAATAATCGTCGTTATTGTATTGTTAAAAATTAGAAAATTAAGCCTCGTTTAAATACTGGCTCCCTTTCATGGTCGAATGAGAGTTGCCAGCTAAAATGCGTAAAAATAATATTAAAGTAGCCAAGACATAGCCAAATATTGTAGTGCCACATCACTAGCGGACATTTGAAATTTACCAACTAGGACGGTCGGTTAACCGAGGTGTCGGATAATCGAGGCTCTACTGTATATTGCTTTTATGCTTCGTGATAAGTTCCTTTGTCAACTTAGTCTAAGAGGAATTTGTAAAATTGACAATTATGTTACTTCCATACATTTCTCAAATATCATGTTTAATAAGTAAAAGCTATATTATGTCAAGCAAAAACTTTTGTGTATTTTTAACAGCTGTCCTTACTTAATAGAAATGTTTGATTTAATTATAACAGTTGTGAAATTTAGCATGTTATTGCTAATGTGAGATTGCATTGTTTGTTTAGAAACATATATTAAACATTTTCATTACATTCATTCAAATGGCATCCTCTTTACAGAAAGTTGCAGTTGACGGACGGTTCTTCTCTACTGTTCACAGTCGTAGGCTTTTCCCAAACTTGAGCCAGTCCATTTTTTGATGATGTCTTGTCACATTAGCCTAGGACTTCGCTTTCTCTGTCTATCCTCCACCATTCCTTGAACTACAATTTATATCAGTTCCTCCAAGGATCCCCTTATTATATGCCCAGCATATGCTGTTTTTCTTCTCTGGATGCTGACCATCAGGTTTCTTTCCATTCCAAATCTATTCATAACCTCCTCATTGCTTATTCTATCCATCCAACTAATTCTTTCCATTCCTCTAAGACATCACATCTCAAAGGAACTTATTCTATTAACTGCCTCTTGGTTTATTGTCCATGACTGACATCTCTATGTAGCCACACTCCACATCATTGTTTTAAGTATTTTTAGTTTCAATTATTTGCACACATTTCTATCTCTTAAGCTGCTTTCATACAAATATCCTCAGTGTTTAGCCTTTTTTATTCTGTTTTTAATTCCATAATTACATATGTTATCCAACTTCCTAGGTACTCAAACATTTTTACCTTTTCTATTTTCTTTCCGTCCAACATAATCTGTAGATCTTTGTTTTATTCTTGAGATTATCA